CCAAGAAAACACAATATTCCACTCTCCCTCTTGCCCTGGCCCATATTCAACCCAGAATGACCCGCGCGAACAACGATTACAACCGCTCCATTGAAAATCGACTGCGTCGAGTGAATCCCGGTGCTTACTAGGACCCCATGACATCTCTCCTCCACAAAATCATGTGCGTCGATGAGGGGAACAACGAATGCCATTGAGAAATAGAAGACAGAGGATATACGAGGAGTATGCGAAATGTGCGCTCACCTCCAATTCGCCGCCCTCACCGCAAAGCCTTCGAGCACCACCAGCAACCGCCCGCCGATTCCGTCATCGTGGAGGGGAATGGATGTGATGGGGTGAGTGTGCGCATTTTTTAAAACTCAAACAACACCCCCTGATATCGCAAATAGTGGAAGCACGACTGTGACTCTATCTAGCTCGCCAGGTCCCTTTCATTTTTTACTAAGCACTCACGCTTGCTCGTTAGCCCCGTCCTTAAATCAGAGAGGCCTTTTACAGTGAACCAAAGAGGCCTTTATTCAAGTACCAAGCAGAATACATATCAAGCAAACAAGTGTTGTTTGCATCCCAGCCGTTGATTTCGCAATCAAGGGACAAAATCAGTTGATCGTATCCAGTGACTAGTGGTTTATCGTTCTGTCAGTTAATTCCCCTCTTCCCTTCCTAAACCCTCGCCGCCCACTTCCGTCCGGCTCCTCCCACTTCCCCACCCCGGCACCGGCGCCGTCGCCGCCGCCGCCGCGGAGAAGAAACCTCGACGATGTCTCTGGCCCGCCTCGGCCAGTCGCTGGTCCGCCGCCTCCACCGGCCTCTCCACCTGCCTCCACCGCCGCCGCCGTAACCCCTCTTGTCCTCCTCCTCCATTCTCCGTTCAGTCTAGATCTCGCTCTCCACAATGCAAATCCGATAATTCTTACCCCCTTCTTCTCGCTTCCGTTGCAGGGATCACTATGCCACCGTTTCCCGGCCTTTCGCTCCGATCCACGCGAACACATGTGTAAGAGGTGAGCGACTGATATGGTTTTCCCCTTTCAGTTCCCCTCCGAGCTTCATTTCAGTTTCCTTTTTTGGTGGGTGCCTTTAATCTTTAGGCTTTGCAAGCTTAACGTACAATTACAATGGCGGGGGCGTGATTTCTCGCAAGTTTGGAGGGCCGTCGCATGTCCACGCCGCGCAGGTTCGAGTACTCAAGTTCACCTTTTTGGTGAATCTGCAACGTTTTTGCCTACAAAGTCTGAGATTCGATTCGGCTTACAAATTCGCATTGGTTGGTTTTCTGCAGGTTCTAGAGCTTGTAGTCCTCCTAAATCATGCAAGACCAATGTCGTCAGGAGCAGGAGCAGCCCCAAAACCACCATCACTGTCCGAAGGCGTTTCTTTTGGTGGTTACAAGGTGCGAGGGCATTAAATTTGCCATTTTGATTCTTTTAAAGTTGGAGGAGTATTCTGTTAACTGTAGTGGCTCTGTATATGTATGTGCAGGTTGCTTTGAAAGCTGACATGCCGAGCCCTGGTTTTGTTTTTGAGCCATACCGTGTCCCGGAACCTATCCCACTTTGGAAAAGGTTGAATTCCAGTGCAGATGTTCACTCTCTATAATTAATTTGCCTTAGATCATTATGTATATGGTATTCAATGCCCTCTCTGGTTGCTGTGGGTTGATTTTTCTTCGCAAAACCGATCCATCTGTTAGTTGTCCAGAACTGACCATTTAAAATTGATGCCTAAGGTTCAAACTCACAGTTCCTTTATTGAATGCCCCATAACAAACTTCCCCAATGCATGATAAAATCTTTATCATCATCATAAGTTCATAACTATTATTTTTGTCTTAGATTGTTTACACCAAGTGGCTGGAGTAGAACAAAGGAGGACGCTATTCTGCAGGTACTGGCTTTCTTGACTGGGAAAACTGCTGCAACGAGAAATCAAGTTCCATTTTTTTCCTTGTTACAATATTTCAACCTCTGTTATCTGGAGACAAATTTGAGTACTGTTACCCTTCATGTTTAGAAATCTAAGAGGTTACTTTCCATTGTTGGGAGCACATTGGTTTTTGACTACATTGGCACCAATGCACCAACATTGAGAGAACCAAGTCACAATAGTTCTTATTTACATGAGAATAAAAAAGCCATGAGATATTTACCATAATTCTAGAGTTGATTTTGATATACCCTTTGATATGGGTGCATTTTACTGTGTTCTTTTCTATTTTAAATTTCCATATTACAATAATGGTGCAATACCACATAGGAGGAAACCGTTTGGGCCTTTTACTGATGGATATATTGCTTACTTTTCATCCTCATCAATAATCTCTTTCTTGTATTTGCTTGCTCCCTGTGTTGATCACAAGATATTTGACTTAATTAATGCTGTTTTTCTTTTGTGCTACCGTCTGTCATGAATCATGTGCTGAGTTGTTGGGTTTTTTACTTGACAGTTCATGAATGCATTTACTGTGTCAAGGTTGAGGAAGAAAATCGGATATAACAAAAAACAGTTCCAGGAGCAAGCGTTTAATATATACAAGGAGGTATGACACATTCATTACATGGAATTAAGTTGTATTCCCTCTGTAAACTAATATAAGGCTTTTTAGATCACTCTTTAGTGATCTAAAATGTCTTATATTAGTTTACAGAGGAAGTACAATTTAAGGAGGTAGATTGCATTGGCATGGGTTTAAGGTTTTCATAAGGGAAGATGAGATCATGAGAGTTGTTACTTGCAAAATATTTGTATGAACTCCAAACAAGTAAAATCACACTGCAGAATCCTTACCAGAGAAAATCACTGCTAAGGGGAGGGGACAACCAAGTATTATTGCATTTGAATGCTCTGTATAAACATCTGTCTGCATTCCCATTTCTCCTACATAGATCCATATCAATATATGCTAGACTTGTTACAAACTGTTGTGTTTGCGAACCAAATTTTGAAATTACTGATCTGTACGCTTTATGGTTATGGGTCTTTGTTTGTGCTAGTTACCAAACACTTCAACACATTGTATTATATATATCTTTACTATTACATAAATGGGAGTTAGTGGTGAGTGCCTGGTGGTGTCACACCACCCCTTTTCTCACACCCCCCATCCACAAAACCACAGTCCCTCTCCTTCCAAATATTCGGCACTAACATGTAGGCCCAATGTTCTCACACTAAACAACCTCATGACATTCTCATAGTTCTTTCCTTTATTTCCTTAACAAACTGAACAACCTCTGCAACTTCAACAAACCCAAGAAATCATTTGTAGAAGTGTAAGCATTGAAACAGACAACTAATATTCAAAATGAAACAGGTTTGTTTTTAGCACGAATATATTGGTGAAATCTGTAGCAACGCATGGGGCAATTAGCTAGTTATAATAACAACCTTGGTTCTGATTATGTTTTTTACAAGAGAGAGTTGGGTTAGCACTGATTGAAGAGAAGCTTGTCCAACATCGTCTGAGATGGTTTGGGCATATTCAGGGCAGGCCTCCAGAAGCTCCAGTGCATAGCGAACGGCTAAAGCGTGCTGATAATGTCAAGAGAGGTCAGGGTAGACCGAATTTGACATGGGAGGAGTCCGTAAAGAGAGATCTGAAGGATTGGAGTGTCACGAAAGAACTAGCCATGGACAGGGGTGCGTGGAAGCTTGCTATCCATGTGCCAGAACCATGAGTTGGTCGCGAGATCTTATGGGTTTCACCTCTAGCCTACCCCAACTTGTTTGGGACTAAAGGCTTTGTTGTTGTTATTGTTGTTGTTGGTTTTGATTATATTTTTTGTGGTCGAGTTGCATGATTTGTCAGTGGTTTCAACTATGTGCCATAGAGCGATTGCATGCCCACCCAGTTAATTCTTAGTTTGTCATGGAATTCCTTTCAATGACATGATTTACCGAGATAGACATTTTCCTTCTTTTATTGCTATCTTACAATTGTTCTTTAATCAGTCAAGTTCGATTGTTTCCTCTGAGTTTCGAATGAAAATGGTGTCCAGTCTTCTATATTATTTTAAAAGCGGTAATGCAAATTGAAGTGCTTACTGATATTGCCAGGTATGATGGAATTTGTATGACATGAATTAGTTCGTGGAATAACTCTCTCTACATTGTTCACTTACCTTGGATTCAGGTTAACAAGCTTATTGCACGAGGAGACATACCATCTCTCCAGAAAGCTCTGACAGATGATATGCATTTTGTAAGCTTTCACCTACTGAATTGATGCCAGACAATGTCTTTTGTGGGGCTTTGCCGTTTATTCTTTCCTCCTTTTTTCTGCAGACTGTCAAAAATGAAATAAGGAAAAGACAATCCAAGTGGAAATCTGTACACTGGGAATTGGTGGAGCCTTCTGTAAGCATAAGAACTTTGAGGGCTCGTATGGTAAGCTATCTGTTGTTTTTCTATTATGCTAACTCTAAAAATCATCTTTTCTAAACATTTACATTTGTATACTGCATTGTCACGATTGAACCAAGTCAGTTGGTAATTGGTCAAGTCTTGTTTATTTTGCAGATTAGTCTTGATAAGAATGACCTTAATAAAGCTTACGTACAGCTTACGCTTGAGTTCATCACTAAGCAGGTTTCATTCTGTAAAGCTCGAAGTTTTCTTTTTGTGATGCAGTACAGCTCAACTATATTTTGTCTCTTCTCTACTTTTACATTGCTGGCTTGATGTTGAACAAGTCCACCTTTTTGGCTTTCTATCCATACCTATTATTTTTTCCAAAGGTTATAGGTCAATCTTGTATGCACATCATGTATTTAAGTATTCTCTGTTTTCCTAATGAACATATTTCACCTCTTTCTTTTGAGAACATGCATGACAGACGTGTATGTTATATTTATGTCTTCTTTCTGTAAAACTCCATAACTTGCTGTGATGTTCAGATTGTTGTTCTTGATACTAAGACCTAGTTTTCTAGTCTAGCTGCCATGTTGTTATCAAGTATTTTCTTTCATGTTAAACTAGTATGTAGCATTGAACTGCCACTTCACCGTGTTCGCATGTAGTGTTTTGCATTTGTAATTTTGTACTGCCTGACTGCCTACACAGTTTAGAGGGTATGTCCCCAAGACCTTTGAAGAAAATGCTATGTGTTCTTTTCTCTTTTTTCTAGAACACTGATGTCTACGTCATTCGAAGAAGGCAGACACTTTGATTTGACTTAATATCAATGATCTGTAATATTGTAAGCATCAAAAGCCATGCACTGAAAAATGTCCACTAACGTAAGGTGCAGTGATAATAGTAAGTTTACTTTGTTAATAACTGTATTATTAGGGTATCCATATGTTTCTTTTGTTTGATCACACTGCATTATTAGGCTGTGTCTGTTTCTCGTTTTTTTGTCTTTTGTGCTACGAGTAGATGGCTTGTTTGCTACCATGGGTATGCAGTATATATTATTCTGTCCTTGTATGTGTACCCCTTGACTATTGCAATTATATTTCCTGTAGAAATTTGAAGCCTATAATTCAAAAAGAGAGGTTGTGTCAGGAGACAAGTCAAAGGAGGTAAATTAAACATGTCAGATTATTTCAAGTACTTTCTTTTTGAAATGTTAGTAGTTCCTCGTGCAATTTTTTCCACAGTATGTCCTCTGCACACGCCTTTACATTGTTTTAGTGGTACATTACCTAAATATCAAGTAACATTTCTGTGATCAAGACCAATAGATAAAATATCAGGAAGAGTGTACACTTCTATCACCTGGCCACAGGTCACCCACTGACTGCTTGCTGGCATTAAGTACACATGAAGTCAAGGTTGGATCAAATTCCATATGGTTGCGTGCTGCCGGCCAGAATATAGATAGACGCTGAACAAAAAATACCGTATTTGACCAAATACTAGCTAGTAACTAGTTCATGATTTTGAAAACTACTGTATTTAGCCAAGTATCAGTTAATGACTAGTTTATGATTTAATTGTCTGCCACAATTGTGATTACCATGTTACTAGATTGACTAAAACTGATCGAAATCCACCTTATTAGGCAAGTACGTTTCACTTCCTGAACCCGATGTATCTAATTTGATAGCTGCTTACGGTCAGGTAACTGAACATTTGGGTCATCACTTTACCAACATTCCGCTGCTTTCTGTTTCCGTAAATTCCATGAAAACGAAGTAGAGAAATTATATTACTTGGTTGCACTCGTCCTTCCCATTGCATGATGTATCACGCAGAAGTATATATTAGATTGCTGTTGAAAACTTGAGACAGTTTTTTTTCCTTGTCTGTTTGTTATATCAAGCAGTGGTGTGTTTATTACCTTTACAACGATCGAATGATCAGGCGTACATGGCTAAGCATTCTCCTGATGTATGTTTGGCATCTGCAAATCATTGTGTCAGGTGCTGGTGAAAGACATATGGGTGTTTGAAAGATCCCTTTTCCACCCCGGAGCATACTGGCGTGTGTGCGCGCGAATCACGCTGTAATAATCTCCTGGCAAGCACATTCCATCCCGCATGAGTTGAGCGATGACTTTTATTATGCACAGTAGTTTGAATAAATATTTTGCCCTGGGCCCCTTTTCCCCTTCTCCTGTCCAACTGATGTATAACAAGATCTCTAGACATAGGCAGTAATGGTAGGTTATTTCTTGTTCCTTGGGGAACTGTCAGCTGAGCTGAAGATACAGGTTGGGTAAGTAACCTGGGCTTACTGCCTTGGGAGGTTTTCTTTACTGTCACCAGATTTCTTTCGATTGTGGTAACAAACTTCTTGTAATTTTGTAGCTCAGTACGCTTGGTGTGCTGATGCGCTCTTTCACGCTAATTTTGTAAATCACGCCAAATTCCACAAAATTACCCTGTGGAAATTGGCGCTCGATTGTCTGAGAAGATGTCTTGCGGGAACCAGTTGAGCATTGTGCCATGGAATGCTTGTCATCGTTCTTCTATGGTGCATTCATTTGTCTCATGCGCTTGCACATGGTGCCGTTTCAGTTGCTGATATGCTTAAGCTTTCTCTGTTGCCCTCTACAATTTACGCATCTCTTCAACTAACAATTCCTAATGAATGCTATGATAGTATGATGTCGTACTGTAGTCATCACTGGGAGCTCCGGAGTTTTAAAATGCTTGCGCGGGATTGTGTATCCCTGTGAAATTCCTCTGTCGTGCGCTAACCACCGGGAGGGTAACGACACTTGGCAAACAGCAGCCGCTCGCTGGCTGATCCACCTCTAAGTGCATGGTTAGTAATACAGTCAACCATGGGCTACAAGAAGTTGTCATGTCATCTCGAGGAAACCTAATAGTTGGTATGTACAGTAGTAAGCTTTAAATGTATTTTATTTTATTAATAATTGGCCCACCTTACAATCTCATAAAGAGTCTTCAGGCTTGTGTTGCAGTTGGCTGTTAATTCACAGCACGCTTCTCTTATCTCTCCTTCAACTAAGCAAAAATATAATATAGAAGTCCTTATCGCCTGCTTATGTCACCTTAGGGCATTGCTAACTGATCATCTATCCGGCGTTAGAGGAGTAAAAAGTTGGTTTTACTCCTCTTAACCAGCATCTAATCGATCCCCAATCCGGCACTGAGCCTGGACGCAGACCCGTTCTTCGCAGTCAAGGCCTTCGCGGCGGGGGTCGACGGGTCATGGCAGAAGTTCCCGTTCGCCGGCCTCCTCGCCATGCTCGCGGCCATTGCCATGCTCGTCATCGACACCATCGCCACGGGGTGCTTCCAGCGTGCCACACACGCCAAGAAGGGCGCGGCCGACGACGTGAAGGCCACCCCGGCTCATCACACGCACGTCGGTCCTACCATGGCGTGTCAGCCTTCGTCGCGACATCGAGAACTGGTGAGCTTCAGATTTGCTTGGTCAATTTCCAGAGAGGGTTTGATTTCTATTGCTTCATGGAGAACGTTTTGTGATGGCGGTTGTGCTCGACAAGTGTTTGACGGAATGCATAAACTAAAAATAAGTTTTACTCTGTTATATATAGGGGATCAACTAGGTCCGGCTAAAGCTTAGTGGGGTATATTTACTCCACTAAGGTCGTTTACTCTGACGTTTACTCTTCTATTTTTTAGGAATCGGTTAGAAATGCCCTTATTGCACCTACTTGCTCTAAGTAGCCAGCAGTTGTGGCCAGTTCCAGCTAAAGCTACCTTGATGCTTGATTATTCTACTCCCATGTTTATCTTCCAACCGAAATAATAATAATAATTAATACTGTAGTAAGTACTACTCCCTCCGTTCCTAAATAATTGTTTTTTTAGAGATTTCAATAAGTGACTATATACGGAGCAAAATGAGTGAATCTACACTCTAAAACATGTCTACATACATCCGTATGTTGTAGTCCATTTGAGATGGCTAGAAAGACTATTATTTAGGAACGGAGGGAGTAATAGCTTAAAGCCGTAGGTTGTCAACCTATACGCTCAGCGATGATGCTCGAGAAGCTGACTTTGGGTGGCGGCTGCTAGATGGAATGGGTTGGTTAGTTAAGCGAGGGAGCGAGCGAGGTCCCAATCAAGAGATGGATGGCATCACCGTATCTCTCGTCTCGTGCAGTGTCAACGGGGGTGGCGGCAAGCGAACCGAATGTCGTCGCCGCGTCATTCCTGCGTGTCGCCGCGGTAACCAGCTGTCAGCTCAACGCCGCGGCACGCGATGACAGCAGTTTGCCTCGCGTAACTTGATTGGGACTACGGTTATGTGTTGTATATCGACAGCACCGACCGTCAAAATAAAATGTATATCGACGCAACCACCCCCCAGAAACATGACGACCCCGATAGTTAAAGACTAGCGGGAACGGATCGAACCCGGTTGTTTGCCTGGGTCGTCAGTGGGAGGTGAAACTTGAGCTACGTTTCAAAAATCGAGGCAGATGTTTTACACGTTCCGTTATACTCCCTTCATTTCACAATATATTGTGCCCACGCTTCTGAGATCTAAATTTGATCATAAATTTGACCGACGAGACTGATTGCGGCGGGTGCAAAAGTTATGCTACTAAATTCGTATTTTTGACACGAATTCAATGGTAATGATTTTCGCTCCTGCCGCAATCGGTCTTATTGATTAAATTTACGGTCAAGCTTAGATCTCGGAAAACGCAGGCGCACTGCATTATGGAGTGGAGGGAGTAATAACAAAAAAATAATAATTTTTCTGATCAATTTACAAGTGTTATACACGTTTCGTTAAAGACTAGTTCATTCTTCCTGCAAAAAAAAGAGACTAGCTCATACCTGCAGCGATTCAAACATGCGTTCTGCGAAAATAAAATAATGGAGATGCTAAAAATCTAATGTCGGAATTTTAGGCATGGCTATTTTTTGTGGCAAATTATCTTGTCACGAGGATGTCAATTTTCTTTAGCAAACATGTCAATTCTTGACTGAAAGTTGAAGAAGGCAAAGATTTGCCATGCTTGCAAAAGGAAATTGCCATTCTCACGGAGGGATGGCTGCTTCGTTGACTATAGCATTTAACTGTGGCTACAACGTTGCAGCGGACGAAGGCTGCCTGGGTCGTGGCCAATTCGTGGCGCGCCGCCCTCACGGCAACATAATTTGTCATCTCGGACATTTGATTTGTCATGCTAAAAATTCCGACTTCCGATCTATAGCGAAATCCCGAAATAAAAGGTGATCCAAACATGCTTTGTAAATTGGCCTCTCACATTTGTCCAATAAAAAAGGAAAAAAAGAAAGAAAACTGTGCTCTCTCTGTTTGACTCCAAGCCCCGCCGCTGCTTGTAGACGATGCACGTACCCCTCGTCACCGAGACGTCTGTGCCGCGTCTACGTGGTGGTGCGCAGTCTGCTACGCCAGACGTTTTGTACCTACGCGGAGTAGAAAACAAATGAAAGAAGAAGTCGCACAGTCTGCTCTGCCACTCTTTTCTTACACGTAGGAGTATGTATGCATGCTGGATTTTTTCTACGGAAGAGCGACGACTCGTGACCGTCGTGAGGTGTGTGAGAGCGACGCACGCCCGCTCGCTCGCTCCCGGCAGAAATACGGTACTGATGGAGTGGTGGAGCACAGTAGAACGTATTGGCAGACGGCGGCCGAATTTCGTGTTTTGACCCTTTTTGGAAAGAATTTCAGGATCTGACCCCTGTTGCTAAAAATTTCAAGATTTGACCCTTTTGCTACCACCAGGGCCTCTGGCGGTAGGGTTAGATAGCCTACCGCCATGGCCCATGGCGGTAGGGGTGCGACGGATGGGGACGACGGCCGTTTGACTACGTTGAACGTGGTTAAGTACCTACCGCCAGGAGCCCTGGCGGTAGGCTGTGCGACCCTACCACCAGAGTGTAATGTTTCTGTAACGAAGAATTGAAGGGCCCTGGTGGTAGGCTGTGCGACTCTATCGCCAGAGCCCATGGCGGTAGGGTCCTGTGTTTTCAATACAATGTTACTGTAACGAAGAATGGAAGGGCCCTGGCGGTAGGTTGTCTGACCCTACCGCCAGGGTCCTTGGCGGTAGGGTCCTGTGTTTTATGAATTTAAGTTCATTTGCTTGCTTCTTTTCAAATTCAACATGACAGTAATATTATAGCAAGTTTCACAAATATGACAACAATATCACAGATCTCAAACAATTAAACTTGGGCATCACATACACATTAACAAATTTGGAGTGCATAGAACATTTCAAACGAACTTCAACTAATTAGTAAACGGAGTTCCACATAGTTTCACAAATAGCAAACACATAGATCCACAAATAGCAAACACATAGTTCCACGTAGTTTCATAACCACTAGAAAAGTTCAACCAAACGAAGTTCAACCAAACTAAAAAAGCCAACTATCGAAGAGCATAATCAGTTGCTCCTTTCCCTCAGGTACGGTCCTCGTTACTCTTTGAACGAGTCTCTTCGGTCTTCTTCTTGGGCCGTCGAGGAACCGGTCTCTGGAAAGGGTCCGGACTCAGCAAATCCTTCTTTTTCGGATTCCTCTTCTTCGGCAGCTGAGATGCTTGAGACGTTTGAGTTGCTGGAGGTCCATAATCTTCATCGTACTCCTCCTCCCCGTTGCTCTCATCCTCCTCCTCCCCTTCTTCATATGTGGCCTCCTCCTCCTTCTCCTCCTCCTCCTCCTCCTCCCCAACCAACCTAGACGACGAGGGAGCATGGCTCGATGAGCCGATGAGACCCTGTGTGGCTACAGGCTGATAAGCTTCAACTGACCCAGCTCCACCACACCCAAGCAGCCCTACCAGCTTGCGACAACGATGCACGAACTTCTGCACACACAATGAAGCAAGGTCATAATAAGTATCAGATCGACTGATTGCAAGTGAAAAAGATGCATCTGTTCCGAGGAGGCTGAAAATGTACGTTCATCGTCCCCCTGACTCTGGTCTCGATTCTATGCTCCCGAGAAGATCACCTAGTGCATCTGAGGCATCGAAGATGCATCTGTTCAACTCACCGGACTACAACGGCATAAGTCAGTCTCCTGCCAGTTGGCCCTCTCCACTCGACCGGTGAGTGCATGACCCTCGATCGGCATTGCAGTAATCATCCCCCAGTCCTCTAGGGTCACCGTCATCTCCCCACATGGCAGATGGAAAGAATGGGTCTCCGGTCTCCAACGGTCAATCAGAGTTGTGAGAGCCGCGTGGACAAGTGTCGGCGGCTGACGCTTGAACTGCAGCACGAAACCCAACAGACGGGCTTTCTTGAAGAACGGCGCGTAGCGCTCGTCGTAGTCCATATGCCCATGAACCCCGTGACCCCTCATGCGCAGTGGCTGGAGCGTCTGTCAAAAAGTGAACGCCAAAAAGTTAGGAAATCATTTTCATCAATCCGAGAACTTTGATCAAAATTTCTTTCATATCACTTACCTCTCCGTTCTCTATGAAACGGGCATGATGACCCTTGTCGAATGCCCAGTCCAGCATGGAGTACCGTTGGCCGATGTTGTCCGCAAGAGGTGGCCGCCTTAATAGAGTTTCATAAACAAAAGCACCATAAGCATAAGCATACATAAACAAACAATGAATTCAAATCATATCAAAATAAAATTTTAAGCATATTCCTCCAACAACATCTACTACACATGATGGATCAAATCATATCAACATGCATCATATAAAAAAAAACCTCCAACATACATCATAGCTTCATATTTTTAAACAAAATTTTCCAAACAACATCTTCATATCATCATATCAACATGCATCATCAAACTAGGGTTCATCTTCACACTAGATCATATCATCATATCACATGCATCATCAAACTAGAGTTCATCCCTTTATCAACATTACATCATAATTTTTTTAACAAAAAAATTATGAACTAGGGTTCATCTTCACACTAACATATGAACTATTGATTAGAGTACATATCCAATACCACTACTTACTAAAGAACTAAGAACTACAACTACAATCAATCTTAGGTGAAAAAAAATCAATCTAAGTTCAAAAACATGAGGGATTTCAAGCAAATAATGCGTTGAATCGGAAGCAAGTTTGCAAAAAGTAATTGGAGGGATCGGAGGAGCTTACGGTTCTCTCCTCGGGGCCATCTCGATCCGCCAAAACGGTGAAGAATCGATGAAGATCCAAGGGGGGGAGTGGAGGAG